TGATGGACTTCAGATCATCCTTCTTGTAGCCCTTGGGTACCTCCTTATGGGCCAACTTCACCAGACGACCCACTTAGGTGTCACCACACTGAGTGAGCTACTTTTTTCTAGATAACAGATTTCATAGGTTTGAGAATGGACCACCCTGGAGGCCTCTCAATGCCTCTCTTGATACTTGAGTAGAGATAGCACCTAATTGGACACATTACCCAGTTAGGTGAAGGCCTTTGCTACAAAAAGGAAAATGCCCTCACTACAGTAAAGGGACTCCCATATGAGATAATTCCTAGGTTTGGGCTGCCTCTGTCAACTGGATCAAATAATGGACCTGCCTTCACCTCATCCATAGCCCAAATGGCCAATAAGGCGTTAAACCATTGTGACCACTGGCCCCAAAGCTCTGGACAGGTTGAACACATGAATTAGACTATTAAGTCCACTTTCTCTAAACTAATCTTAGAGACCAGTGAAAACTGGCCCAACCTCCTAGCCATGGTCCTCCTCTGGGTTAGATGTATTCCCTATGAGACAAGTTTCACTCTATATAGATTATGTTGACAAGGCTGCCTCCCCTACTGCGCCTAGATTAAGGGACCCTATTCTGAAAAAAATTCTCTCAGAATTTTTCCAGTCTCCAGTCTCTCCAACAGGTCCAAGCTGCAGTCCATTCTAATGCCTGAGACACACTCCCGGTTCCTCCTCTAGTTCCTGCCACCCATTCTGTCCCAGAGATCTGATATACATCAAAGAGTTCTGAAAAGAGAGAGGCCAGTAGTTCCTGGGATCCACTGCTGGTTTGATTGGAATCTATCCACCTTGCTTACAGACCTAACAGGACCTCTCATCCTTCGCTTCCTGGGTCTAATGATTGGGCCTTGCCTAATTAGCTGGTTGTTAAACTTTGTCAAACAATGGATAGCTTCTGTTAATGAACCTGAGAGCCCAGTACAGTCCCCTGTCACCTGAGGATATTGAGTCAATGCTTTGACTCTGCCCTAAGGCCAGTGGGGAATGAAATGGTCAAATGGACTCCATTTTATTCTAGCTGACTTTTGCTCACTCTATATTTCTGTCCAGAGGCTCTCCCTCAACCCCCGTCCATTAGCTGCACCCAGCCAGGCAGAATGGTCTCATGAAGGCTGCACCTACAGTTTCATGGAGAACATTGTTTCTACAATACTGGGAAACACTTTTTCTAACCAAAACTTAAAAACTTTCTGTTAAATGAAAATTTGTTATATGCCCTGCCCTGGTACAGTGTAACCATGGTTACTGGACTTGTCCCTGGCAAGATAAAATTGTAGTTTTAAGCTTTACAAACCCTATTCTGCTTCTCCTAGGGGTTGAGAGTTCTTTTGAGTGTGAGTTCACTCTTGACCGCCAGCTAATTAAAAGGGCTCTTAATTTGACCATCACTGTGTGACACTCCTCTGTGCCTCATGCTATAACAACCTTCTATCATTTTTGACATTTCTTAACTGGCATTCTATTTTAGAAAACACTCCCTTCTTCCCCCACTTTTTGCCCATCTATTTATCAATATCAAATCCTTTGGATTATAACCTTATTTGTTAAGAAACTCAACTGACCAAGACTTGGCCAGTAAGAACTTCTTCAAGTTTAGTACAGTAAACATTTGATGAATTTTTCATCATTAAATGACTTTTATTGTTCTTGTTCTTGTTTTTGTTGTTAGACAGGGTCTCACTACGGAATTCATGCTGCCCTGAAACTATGTAGTAACCCAAGCTTGCCTGGAACTCAGGACCTTAGCCTCGGCCTCCAAAATGCTAGAATTACAGGCATGATGCACTATCATGTCCATCATTAATTTTTTTGAGGCCTAGTTTTGATATACATTGCATAATATTCAATGTGCACATAAGAAAGTATATTGTGCTACAGCTTTGACCTATGAAAGTGATCTTTGCCTTAAGACAATTACTACTGTCTATTTCTCTTACTTCTGTCAATGACTTTGTCTTATGTATTTTGGTGCTCTGTTGTTAGGTGAATACATGATTATAAATGTTACCTTTTCTTGGGACTGGAGAGATGGCTCAGTGGTTAAAAGCACTGGCTGCTCTTACAGAGGACCAAGGGATCTGACGCCCTCTTCTAGCTTCCATGGGCACTGCATCACATGGGTGCACTTACATGCAGGCATAACATATACATAAAATAAAAACAAGCCAGGCGCAGTGGTGCACGCCTTTAGTCCCAGCACTTGGGAGGCAGAGGCAGACAGATCTGTGTGAGTTCAAGGCCAGCCTGGTCCCCATGGTGAATCCAGGCCAGATGTGGCTATAGGGAGACCCTGTGTCAAAAAGCCAAAAAAAACTTTTTTATGTTACATTTTCTTGATGTGGTACCGCCCTTTGTGAAGCGTTCTTCTATCTCTGGTAATCTTTTCTTTTATACTTTGACAGTTTCATTCATGTACATAATGAATTTTGTTTTCACATACCCCCATTTCCCTCTCTCATTTCCCCCTCCTGCTGAAACTCTTCTTCCTAACAAGTCTCCCTTCTAATTGTGTGTGTGTGTGTGTGTGTGTGTGTGTTTACCACTGAGTTTAATTTAGGATTGCTTGCAGGAATATGGGTGAGAGGTTGTTTACTGGAACATGGACAACTTATAAGTAGTTACACCACTGAAGAAAATGACACCCCCTTCTTTAGGAACCACTAACTACCAATCATCCCTCAGAGAGGGGTGGGACCTCATGGGCCTATCCACTATCCATTACAAAATATGGAGGGGCACAGTGTTATGCACGTATTGTCACCTCTCTCCTTCTACCACGTAGTGTCAGGGTCAAACTCAGACTGCCAGGCTTGGCAGCAAGTGGCCACCATGCACTGAGCCATCTTGTCAGCTCTTTACTCTTTCGTTTTGTCTATGCTTACTTTGGCTTTGCACTCACCAATATGCAAACACATTGCATTCAGATAACAGGGACAATGGCTCAAGTCTCTGATCCTCTCCTTAAGAAGCTGGAAACTGCAGTGGAGGGGAAGGACAGAGTAAGAGCTTCTGTTCTCAGCATATGTTTCCTGATGTGAAACCTCTGCTTATGAGTGAGGTGGTGAGGGTATTATCAACATGCCCTGAAGATACTAAGCCTCCACCTCAAGTCAGGACTGGGTAGAAGAGAGATCTTATCCTGGCAACACTTGTATGAAACTTAGCCTCTGCAACAGGCAGCTGGAACAGGATAGGGTTAAGTGCCAACCTTTTGCCTCTCCTGAGAAGACCCTGTAGCTCTTAACCAGGAGAGAAAGCCCTGTGTTTGGTCTTTACATCCCCAATAAAGTTTTTTTTAAAAGAACCAGGCATGGTGGCACATGCCTTTAATCTCAGCATTCAGGAGGGAGAGGCAGGTAGATCTCAGGCCAGCCTGGTCTACATAGCAAGTTCCAGGCCAGCTGGGGCTACAGAGACCCTTTCTCAAAACACCAAAAAAAAAAAAAAGAAAGAAAAGCTTTTGGAAAAGCTAGAAAGGTAGTAGTAAAATTATTCAAATGTCATGAACTCGCAGTTTATACTAGGTTTTCCTTCTTTTTTTGAAACAGGGTCTTGTGTAGGCTTCAAATTAATTATGAAGCTTCGAATTCATTATGTTCATTATGTAGCCAAGGGTAACCTTGAAATTCTGATCCCCATGCTTCCACCTTCTGAGTACTAAGATTACAGGCATGTACCACACCAGGTTTATGCAGTGCTTGAAATCTAACCCAGTGCTTCATGCATGCTAAGCAAGCACTCTACCAACTGAGCTAAATCCCTAGCCCCCAAGTTTTCTTAAGTTTCCTTAAATAAATGCTCCTTTATTTGATGTATGCTTTTGTACCATTTCCAGATACTTTAAAATTATTTAATCTTAATGGGGAGTGACTGGGTCCAAAAACTCCTCCGTTTGTCATACTGGAAGTAAAACTCACAATTCTATCCTTCTTTGAGACTGCTCCAATCTCATCTTGGTTTTTTGTTTTGTTTTGTTTTGTTTGTTTGTTTGTTTTTTCCTAAGCTCCAGCCCTGTAATCAGCTGTTTCTCCAAAAATTTCTGATTCCTTTTTGTAGAGACTGATATTTAGACACTAAGGAGTGAACAGCAGATCTACTTATTTTACCAGCTATAATTTCTCTTTGTTCCCTCAGGATACAGTACAAGGAAATAAACATGCTTGTCCATACATGTCTTTACATACATTCATGCGTTCACACTGATTATTTCCCATTCCACTCCAATACCAAAGGGTTTCTTCTTCACTATTTCTTCATTAAGGGTAACCTGGCCCATATTTTTCACACCTTAATTACTTTTTTAGTCCTAGAACACAAATTAGCTTCAGAATTGCCTGACCATACCACGAGAAAAACAAACAACTAGAATTCAGTAATAGCCTATAGGTTATCTTTTGGAATAACTTATTTGTTGGAGTCAGGGTCTCACTCACCATATAGTACAGACTGACCTTAAATTTGCCAGCCTTGCTTAGAGCCTTTAATCCCAGCACTAGGGAGCTGGAGGCAAGCAGATCTCTCTAAGATCAAGGTCAGCCTGGTCTACACAGCCAGTTCCAAGCCAGTTGTGGCTACAGGGAGATCCTGTCTCAAAAACAACTGCCAACCTTCTGTTTTCCCATCAATATATAGATATAGATAGATGGTTTTGCACATGACAACACTGAAGCACCCAACTGTTTTTTACATTGACAATCTGAATGATATTGCACTCAAATATATGACAGTAGAGGAACATGTTAGAAATAATCTGCATATAGTGCAAAATCCAAGTTTCCTTATGCTTTCCTGCTGCTGGCGGGTGGCCTTTTTCTACTTTATGCTTTACAGAGGGAGTTACCCACTGATAGCTCTCCCTTTAATGGAGGATTCGCAGTGCCCATTTCTTCATCAACCCACCAGTCATTTAAGGTGGACATCCTGCATCCACTGCTGGTAAACATAAATGAATCTGCAAACCAGGGATAGTCTGTACGCATTTATAAACTTTAATAGGCATGTGACATGGTCACACATTTGAGGCACAAACTGCAAACGACATTTGCACAGCAGGATGAGGCTCTGGGAAACAACGACTGGATGAGATTCAAGAATCCACAGCCTAACCTTGAGTTGCTTGGGTCATAACTCCATTTTGGTCCACCAGATCACAGTAGCATAATCCAATCTATGAGGTCAGACCTAGTATTCAATGGCCTCTGAATAGAGCAGCTTGCATTCTGAGTGCAGCACCCTAAAAATGATAAAAAATAAATTCATGTTACAGCCTTTCCTCAACAGTGTGGAGCTGATAGCTGGTTCAAGGGTACAAACTGACCTAGGGGTCATTTTTTTCATGGTGTCTGTTAAATCCAATTTTTTTGTTTGTTTGCTTGCTTTATGTCAACAAAGCTTTACATGGCTGAATTTTTTTTTTTTCATTGTTTTACTTTGCAGTGCAGGGCTCAAACCTCCTGAGCCTCTTTTTACATGCCAGAAAAGTATGCTACCACCAAGCTACATACAATTGCAGCCCTTGTTTTCTGAAAACACACCAAATCCTAACCACTAGATCACCAGGGAAGGTCTTGTTTTTCTTGGGGGAGGAGAGAGTTTGTTGTTGAGAGAGTACTTTCAGATTTATTTTTATGTTGTATGAGTGTTTTACCTGCATGTTTCTAAGCGCACCTCTGTGTGCAACGCCCACAAAAGTCATAAGAGGACATTGAATCCCCTGGAACCCAAATTCCAGATGGTTGTTAGACACCATGTGAGTCCCAGGAACCGAACCCAGGTCCCCTGTAAGAATGGCCAGTGCTCTTAACTGTTGACCAACTCTCCAGCCCACCTACCCCCACTAGTCTTTTTTTTTTTTTCTGAAAGAGAGTCTTTAGCCCCAGCTGGCCTGGGACTCAATATTTTTTTGAGAAAGGGTCTCCCTCTGTAGCCCAAGCTGGCCTGAAACTATGTAGACCAGGCTGGCCTTGATGTCACAGAAATCTGCCTGCCTATGCCTCTGGAGTGCTGGAATTAAGTGTCCACCACCATGCCCAGCTCAAGGCCTTCTTGAGCTGACAGATCTCATTAGACAGCACAGTTTGGCCTTGAACTCAAATTCCTACCTCTGCCTCTTAAGTGCTGGGATTACAGTTGTATACTACCAAACAGCTTTAACTATGTTCTTCTTATTTTTTATTATTTTTATGTGTATGAGTGTTTGCCTGAATGCATGGAAGTGTACCACGTGCATGCAAATCTTCAGAAGCCAGAAGAGGGCACGAATCCCCTGGAACTGGAGTTAGCTAGCTAACTCACAGTTAGCAACCACATTGAGTTGCACCTGGGTCCTCTGGAAGATCAGCCAATGCGCTTTAGTACTGAGCCATTTCTCCAGTCCCTTTAACTACATTCTTAAAAGATACACAATTAGCTAGGTATGGTGGTGCACACCTTTTATCCCAGCAGTACAGTGGCAGAGGCAGGCAGATCTCTGTAAGTTTGAGGCCAGCCAGGTCTACATGGTGAGTTCCAGGCCAGCCAGTGCTATGTAGTAAGATTCTGTCTAAATAAGAAAAAAAAAAAAATTAATTAAAAATAGAGTACAAAATTGATAATCAATTGGAGACCTAACTGTCATATCAACCTACCTTTCTATGCTAACTAAATCAATGCAGACATTGTAAATCTTCTGACAGAACTGCATCCTCCCAAATAGAGACAGCTGATTTGAATTACAGACACTCACAGCCAAATTATTATCCTGGGGGCGGGAGGGGGGTGCTGCTACTTTCATAGAAGCACATTTATCTGGGTCCTGGTGAAGGGAGGGGACTGGGGTTTGAGGAACAAACAATGGATCCAATATAGCATGATGTGAAAGGGATTACTAGTAAAGTTTCTGACTCTTGTTTCTCCTCTGTACCAGTCTGCCAATACAGCTACTCTTTAAAAACTATACACAGTTCTGAGTATTAGCACACTCTACACACACAGAATAAAAATTCTTCAATGAAGACAATGAAAAATCAGTTTTCATAGATTTCTAATTCCTGCAATACTCCATGGTTTCTATATTCTATCCTAAATCAGCAATCTTATCCATGGGTATTGTTAGCTTAGACTTGGGTAACTAAAAATAGTGTCATGGGGTACTGGCAAAACAACTTCTTCTGCAAGGCAAATTTTCTTCCCCACACCCATGAGGCTAGATCTCAAAGCCCAAGCTGGGTTCAAACTCACTATGTAGTCAAAGCCTCCATGTCATAAGTGCTTGGATTAAAGGTATATGCCAACATGTCCAGCTCACAATCCCCACCCCTGGCCCCTAGGGGAGGGAAAGGGCTATACATTGAGAATTTAGAGAGTTGTTTGTTGACTGGGAATTAGGAACACAACTACTCAATCATGCCACTGTAGTTCAAAGGCAGATAATACAAGTACACTCAGCTATTTTATAACAAACGATTTATGGACACTGAAGCTGATTTTCATACATTGCCAAAACCTAGTCTGTATCTTTAAATGAAGAATATACAGTTCAAACTTCAGAGTTAGGGGTGTGGTTCAACAGTACAAGCAAGCAAACAAATTTAAAAAAAAAAAACAAAAACACTTAAGAATATCTGAGCTTTAGCCGGGCGTGGTGGCACACACCTGTAGTCCCAGCACTTGGGAGGCAGAGGCAGGCAGATCTCTGTGAGTTCAAGGCCAGCCTGGTCTATATAGTGAGTTCTAGGACAGCTGGAGCTACAGGGAGACCCTGCTTCAAAAAGAAAAAAAAAAAAAAAAAAAAAAAAAAAAAATATCTGAGCTTCAGATCCCTTCTAAATATTCTTTAAGTTATCAGGAGAGAACTGTTTATATCAACAACCTAGAGAACATTTGGGATAGACTGAGTTTTCAATTCAGCAAGCAAAATCTATTTGATTTCCATTATCCAAACCTAGAGCTATAAGTGATCATTTCAGTAAGTCACAGAAAATTGAATTAAGATTGGATTTTGAAGTTAAAACCTATTATTCTTGTAATTAGATCATGTATGATCAAAACCAGCTATTTCAATCCCCAGATTTCATTATAAATTTGAAATTCTTCCATGGTAACAGTTTCTCAACATTCCCAGAGTCTGACCACTGAGGGACACAACGTTCTAGGTGTATACAAGCAATAAGAATATTTGATTTGGGGCTGGAAAGGGGGCTCAGTAGTTAAAAGCATACATTGCTCTTGAAGAAGACCTGGGTTTAGCTTCCAACAATCAACACCAGACGGCTCACAACTGCCACTTCCATGGATCTGATGCCCTATAGCCTCTAAGGGCATATATAACTCACAAATACACAAGCATACACATAAATTAAATATTTCATACAATAAGCTCAAAACTTCCTATTTGGGAATACGTGCAAATTGGCAGCTATTTTCTTTTGTCAGGAAAATACCACATGAAATATTTCTCTCTAAAAATGTTAACTACACATTATTCTAGGATCACATTATTTTTAACATAATTTATATATATACAAATATATATAAGAGTTTTGCCTGTGCAGGATGTGTGTGGTGCCCACAGAAGCCAAAGAGGGTGCCAGGATTTTTTGGAATTGGAATTAACCACAGTTGTGAGCTGTCATGTGGGTTCTGGGAACCGAACTGAGGTCCTCTGCAAAAGTATCAAGTGCTCAGCCAGGCGTGGTGGTGCACACCTGTAGTCCCAGCACTTGGGAGGCAGAGACAGGTGGATTTCTATGAGCTCAAGGCCAGGCTGGTCTACATATTGAGTTCCAGGCCAGCTGGGGCTACAGGGAGATGCTGTTTCAAAAAAAAATTAAAAAAATAAAAAAGTAGCAAGTGCTCTTAACCACTAAGCCATCTCTCCAGTCTCCCAGGACCACGTTCAAGTAAAAGTCTAAGATTTTAATAAAAAGAATTATTCCGGGACTGGAGAGATGGCTCAGCAGTTAAGAACACTGGCTGTTCTTGAGAAGACCGGGGTTCGAATCCCAGCACCCACATGGCAGCTAACAACTGTCCGTAACTCCAGTTCCAGGGGATCCAACAGCCTCTTCTGTTTTCCATGGGCATTGCACAACATGGGTGCACTTACCTACATGCAGGCAATACACACATACACATAAAATAAAATAAAAAATAAAGTATTTTTAAAAAAATCATTCTTCTTAAGAAAATCTTCATGCTGTTATTGAAAACACAAGGAAGTACACACAAGATCCAAGAACCTGGTTCAAAAGAGAATTGTATACAGACATTCTGGGAATCGATTCAGCAGAACTGGTGTTCTCAACAGAATTCTGAGACAGGAATTAAAGAATTAAGTGAGTGCTCACATTTTGTTCTGTTTCGTGTTAGACTGAGTTACAGACTCAGAATCCCGGGAAAAGATTAGCATCATCCAGTAATAGACACCCTGAAGGTACTACCTTAAGAATACATAGCAGATAGGTGCAGTGGTGCATGCCTTTAATCTCAGCAATGGGAAACAAAGATGGGCAGATCTCTGTGAGTTTAAGGCCAGCTGGTGTACAAAGGGAGCTCCAGGCCAGCTCGGGCTACACAGTGAGACCCTGTCTATGACAAAAAGTGCAAGCAGAAGGGTGTTTCTCCAGAGAAAATAAGGAACAGCTATTACTGTTCCAGTACAGAACAGATACTACCGAAGTCCTAAGACAAGGCAAGTGCTCACAATGCTCAACCTCTTACAAAGCAGCATGGTATGATATGCCAAACCTGCCCATGGAGATAGACTACTGAATGAGCAAACTTACTTTGAGTGAGAACTGCATTCTTCCACATATAAGCCTCATTGTTACAGCTACATTGTTTAAAAAAAATTAAAGAGACAGTGCTGATATAATAGCTAACATTTAATGCAGAAACTACTAGGGGATGTTATATAAAATTAGAGCCAGTAAGGCTAGGTGTGGTGGTGCATGCATTTTGTCCCAGCACTTGGGAGGCAGAGGCAGGCAAATCTCTGTGAGTTCAAGTCCAGCCTGGTCTACACAGCAAGTTCCAGGTCAGCTGGGACTACAGAGAGACCTTGTCTCAAAAAGAACGAAAAAAAAAAAAAGAAAGAAAGAAAAACAACTAGGGCCAATAAGATAGCTCAACAGGTAAAGGTGCTTGCCATCAAGCCTGATATCCTCAGCTTGTTCTCCAGGCCTTACACAGAAAAAGGAGGGAACAAATGCTTGCCAAGTTAACCTTTGATCCCTGTAAGCATGTGAATGTACATTCATGCGCGCGCACACACACACACACACACACACACACACACACAAATAAACGCAATAAAAAGATTTATCAGGGCTAGGGAGATGGCTCAGGAGATAAGAATGCTTGCTGCTCTTCTGGAGACCTGAGTTCAGTTCCCAGTGTATTCAGCAGCTCACAACTTCATGTAACTCCAGCTCCAAGGGATCTGACACTCTTATGGCCTCCAAGGGCACCTATACCCAGATGCACACATACATATAAACCTCTTTAAAAAAAATCAGAGGCTAGGCATGGTGGTGTATGCCTTTAATCCTAGCACACGGGAGGCAGAGGCAGGTGAATCTCTGTGAGTTCAAGGCCAACCTGGTCTACATAGTGAGCTCCAGGCCATCTGAGGCTACATGGAAACCCTGTCTCAAAAAGACCAAACAAAAAAAGTCAATCTTTTAAAAATGCTATTCAGAGTTAACTTTCAAGGTAGGTTCCTTATGGCCTTACATTATTTACTATTTTTTTAAAAAACAAAGCTGGCAATGATGGCACACACCTGTGATCCCAGCACTTGGAAGGCAGGAAGATCAGGAATTTGATGCCAGCCACAGTTACATATCTAGTTCAAGGACAACCTGGGCTACACGAGACCCTGCTCCCCGCCCCCCCCCAAAAAACTCACAACTTTGTACTCAACTATGGAAAAAGCTTACTATTTATAGCTGAGGTGGTCTTTATTTCATAAAAACATAGCTTCAAATCTGGAATGAATGTGACTTTCCATGTAACACTTTCTCTGGAAAAATTTTCCTTGACTTTTTAAACTTACAATGTGGTCTCAGTACAAATGGTACAAATCTTCACAACACGACAACCACACTTGGTATGTTCACCGTTCTCATTCCTTCAACTTTCTTCTGAGCAAAGATTTATGTGACTAATTTCTGACAAATTTTGCAGTCTCGTTTCAAATAGGACTTCTCCCATGTAATTTTCTTGATGTGAAGGTACTTTTCTATCTCCTGCTTAAGTCTGTCTGAATTATCATCTGAGGGCTACGTAACACCAGCTCCTGTGAAAAAGAATCTAACATTCACTTCGTCACTTGGATGTCTGCCTTGTGTGTTTTCCGATGTATACGAAGCCCTGAATTCCAACAGAAAGATTTCCCACATTCAGAGCATTTCCAGGGTTTCTCTCCTGTATGAACTCTCTGATGTTCACTGAGGGAGGACTTCTGAGTAAAGGCTTTCCCACATTCACTACACTTAAAAGGTTTCTCTCCAGAATGAGTTTTCTGGTGTATCTGGAGCGACGCCTTCCTGGGATAGGCCTTTTCACACTCATTGCACTCATATGGCTTCTCTGTTGAATGAGTTCTCTGGTGTATAATTAACTGTGATTTTCCACAAAATGCTCTCTCACATAAGCTACATTCATAGGGTCTCTCTCCTGTGTGTGTTCTCCTATGTATAACAAGGTATGACTTGCTACTGAAAGCCTTGCCACACTCACTGCAGCCATAGGGCTTCTCCCCTGCATGGGCTCGCAAGTGAGCAGTAAGCTGCTCTTTCCGGCCAAAGGCTTTGCCACAATCACTGCACTGATAAGGGTTGTTTCCAGTGTGAACTCCCTGGTGCACGATGAGTTGTGTCTTCATGCTGAAGGATTTCCCACAATCGTTGCATTGATAAGGTTTCTCCCCTGTGTGCACTCTGATGTGAACAAGGAGGTAGGATTTACTCCTAAAGGCCTTCCCGCATTCATTGCATTTATGGGGTTTCACTCCTGTATGAGTTCTCTGGTGGACAATGAATGGGGACTTCAAACTAAATGCTTTTCCACATTCATTGCATTCATAAGGTTTTACTCCCGTGTGACTTCTCTGGTGTAAAATAAGCTGAGACTTCCAACTGTAGGCTTTCCCACATTCACTGCAACCATAGGGCTTCCCTCCTGTGTGGACTTCCTGGTGGACAATGAGCTGTGACCTAAAAGAGAAAACTTTCCCACATTCAGTACATGAGTAGGGCTTTTCTCCTGTGTGAACTCTCTGATGAGCATTAAGGTTTGACTTGGCACTGAAGGCTCTTTCACATTTTGTACATTCATATGGCTTCTCCCCTGTATGAATTCTCAGATGTACAATGAGCTGTGATTTACAACGAAAAGCTTTCCCACATTCATTACAAACACAGTTTTTCTCTATGCTATGACCTCTCTGATGCTTAAGAAAATATGATTCTTCATAACTATGAAATTGACCAAGATTCTTTCCTTCAGATTTTCTTCTTGAACCACAGTTTTGTACCACATTTTTCATATGTGTGTCATACTTATGGAGTCTCTGCCTTGAAGAAACATGGGTTTGGCTCATATAAAGTTTTCCAAAGGCATTACAAGCATAGCTTCTCTGAATGTTTTCAATCTCATCTTGATTTTTCTGGTACCATTCTTTCCAGCCTGATAGGAAGAAAAAAAAAAAAAAAAAGAAAAGAAAACAGTTCTTGAATTGTGATATAGAATTAAAGACCTTTAAAAATGTATTTAGGGGTTAAGGTATGAAGTATACATAAGTGGTAGAACTTTTACTTAGCATGCACAAGGCCCTAGGTTACATCACCAGTAACGCCAAAACAAACAAACAAATAAACATCCATGATGAGTCTTTAATTATTTAATAACCACATGATTAGAAGAAGCACTTCATTACAGCTTTAACATATTCAATAACAATTTCCAGAGCAAAGATACATCTCTTTCAAAAGTGGCTGTAAATTTTCAGGTTCACAACTGAATTAATACAGTTATATAATATTGAACTCAGTATAAACCCTATTTAAGACATAAAATTGAATCAGGTTTTAACCTTTAAAAAAAAGATCTCCATTTCATTTTAAAATATACTGTTTCTTACAGAAAAACTCATTTTTAATGCTACTAACACTTAGATGTTTGCACATGCGTCTCTAATCTCTATATATCTTTTTTTTTTTTTTTTTTTGGTCTTTTTGAGACAGGGTCTCCCTGTAGCCCCAGCTGTCCTGGAACTCACTATGTACGCCCGGCTATGTATCTTATTATTATTACTCACAGTCAGTTACACCCGGATCCTTGGTACCTGAGTATGGATATAAAGTCATCAGGTAGATTTCAATGGTAATGTTTTTCACCAATGAGTCTTTATTTTAGAAGAGGCCTATGGCATTGTTTCAAAAGAAATATGGGCAAAGCATGAGGGTAAAGAAAGCATTCAAACCAAACAAAAACAACATCCTCCCTCATGAGATTGGTAGTGCATCAGTCATGATGAAAAATCTTTTAAAGGGTTTTTTAAAAAATATACTTGTTGGAAGCCGGGCATGGTGGTGCACGCCTTTAATCCCTGCACTCGGGAGGCAGAGGCAGGTGGATCTCTGTGAGTTCAAGGCCAGCCTGGTCTATATAGTGAGTTCCAGAACAGCTGAGACTACAGGGAGACCCTGGCTCAAAAAGACCAAAAAACAAAAAAACAAAACAAACAAACAACAACAAATACACACACACACACACACACACACACACACACACACACACACTTATACTTGTTGGGCCAGTAAGATAACTCAGCAATTAAAGGTGCTTGCCACTTAGCCTGATGACCTAGGTTCAATCCCCAGAACCCACATGGTGGAAAAAGAAAACTCTCACAAATTGTCCTCTGACCGCCACACACATGCCATGGCACATGTGGCAGCCCCACATATTTTGGTGGGGGTGGGGAAGTGGTTTGAGACAGGGTCTCCTTGCAGCCCCAGCTGGCCTGGAACTCACTATGTAGACCAGGCTGGCCTTGAACTCACTGAGATCCACTTGTCTCAGCCTCCCCAGTTCTGGGACTAAAGGCATGCACTGCCACTGCACTAATGGTGGCCTAACAAAAGTTTTTATTTTTTTCAAAACACATGTGCATGTGTACACACACACACACACACTTGCACCTACTAGCCAATTCCCAATTCTTTTGTACCCAAATTTATTGCCAAGATTTTATTTAACGAAAAGGTGAATTAGAGCATACAGAGTAACAAATGTAAGACACTTGGACTAAGATATTAAAAAGGAAGCTGTAGGAGTGGACACCTAAAACGACAACACTTAAGAGGTGGTGGCAGAAGGATCTGGAATTTGAGTCCAGCATTGACTATATAGCAAGACCTGGTCAAAACAAACATACATACACAAACAAAAGAGAATGAAAGAACAATGAAAATTAATACTCCAAGTAGAGTTCCCAAGAAGTGGACATGCTTGATATGGTGAAAGGAATCCAAAAAGGCCAGGAGAGCCACAACATACTGATTAAACAGAGTAAATGCAAAAAGCAAACCACACAAGGCCAGAGCAAAATACTTTTGCTTTAAAAGGGTATATAATTAGAGAAGGTCCTGATTAGAGTTCTGCTTTTAAAACACCAGTTTGACTGTTATATAAAAAATAAGAAAAGAGCAGCTAGGCCTGCTAGCACAGGCCTACAATCTGCCTACTTGGGAAATTAAAGCACAATAGTACAATGGCTTTAAGTTCAAGGCTGGATTTAGTGTAACACTGTCTCAAAAGGAAAAAGGGGATAGGGATGTAGCTGAATGATAGAGTACTTGCCTAACATTCATGAGACCCTGAGTCTGATCCTCAGCACCACAAAGATAAATAAGAGACCAATTAGAAAGCCCTTGTAGTAACCTGGAATGAAACCATGGTGGTAAGACTGTACTTCTAGGTTTGAGAGATGTGGGACATACTGGAGAGAGGACTAAGGCTGTTGTGAAGCTGAAAGACAGGGCAGGAGGAGGAAAAACAGCTCAAGCAGCAAAGTACTGCTGCTCTTCAGAAATGACAAAGAAACATGCTGGAGAAAAATGAAGGACATTGTGGTTTTTACTACTTTGGAGGGCTCAGTTAAACATCCAGATAACAGCAATCACAATGAGTAAGCAGTCAGCCCTGAATCTAGTGCTCAGTGAAAGGTAGGATCAACAGCATGTGAAAGTATGAAATGACATCAAAGATGGGATGAGCCAGGAAACAAGGCCTGCAGAGAAGGCCACAGCTCATCTACTGAGCCAAAATAGTGCCCTTATGTTGACAGTAATGGACAGAAACAAAGGATAAATTTAGGACAATCTAGTAAGTAGTTTCGGCATGGAGAATCTCTCAGTACAGTACCAACCAGTGCATTATAGGAGCACTGTCCACTTTTTGCAACTTGGCTCCTGCCTTGGCACCTCTTTCTAAATATGCTCATCCCAAAGGGGGAAGGGGACTCTAGCTATGGTGTACCTAAAAGTGAGGCTACCAAACTCAATAATAAGTTAAAACCAGAGGCTAGTCAATAACAATAAATAAATAAACAAATAAATAAATAAATAGACCAGTGGCTGGAAGGAAGGAATTCTTCTTGGGCTTACTGACCATGTCTAGGTAACTTTTAGTTGCATTGCTAGTTTAACAGAATTGGTAAGAAAACAACAACAAATACACAAAACACAGACTGGAAGTCTGCTGAATTTGAAAGGCAATCCCAAGACTGGACTAATAGCCTATACTTCTTCAGCTTTTAGTATTTAAAATTAAAACAACAGGAACAGACTGTTCTTAAACTACAGACATAAACCATACCTCAGCTGTGGCCACAGAACACAAAAGAAAGAGAGAGCTTTTGAAAGGAAAGTGCCAGAAGTAGGAATATAGCTCAGTTTGGTTGTGCCTGCCTAGTATGCATTAAAGGCCTAGGTTCAATCCTTAATACTACATAAACCAAGCACAACTCATATCAAAACCCATCACGCAGGAGAAACAGAAGTTCTCCAGAAGAAAACTGTGCATGCCTTTAATCCCAACACCGGGGAGGCAGGGGCAGGTGGATCTCTGTGAGTTCAAGGCCAGCCTGGTTTACATAGTGAGTTCAGGCCAACTGGGGCTACAGGGAGACCCTGTCTCTAATACTCAAAAAAA